AATCTCAAACAAATTGAAAAAGAAGAAAGAAGTGTACTTTAATTCATCTAAAGTCAGCTCGCATGATATATTAACAGAAAAATATTACAGGATTTAGTCTTTGTAAAGTTCTTCTACAGACTTGCAAAATATTTTAATCAATGTTTGAATTAATAAAACAATTTTGTTCAAAATTTAAAATTTCTTTTATATCAGAATATTTAACATAAAACAGGTCTAACTCAAATATTTGTACCACTTTTACCAAATTGCAAGAGGGAATTTGAGTCTAACTCAAGTTAGTCTTGTATTGCGCTCAGAATTTCAGCGCAATAAAGGTCTAACTCTATAATACACAATTTGTAACATTTTAATAAAAAAATATATAAATGGCATTATTTCTTATTATAATTAATGTTAACATAGCAAAAAAATATTTTTCTAATATAAGTATTTTTGAATAAAATCAGTTTTTTGTCTCTCCTGAACATTTCCAAAAATAGCAGTTAGACCAGTATTGCGCTGAGCCATCGGTTTAAGGTGCGAGTGATTCCTGCCTATAGACATCAGGTTATATAAGTTATTTGTCATAGGTGTGTTAATCAGTTTTATGTAACACACTATCCATTAAGGGCATTAAATTTTTAGTATTTAGTAAAACAGTTTGTACCAGAGTTTGACGGGAATACAACTGCATGGTCATCCTTTTTGCTATCACGTATAAAGTATAAAGTGAAGGATCAGTTTCTACATGTACTTTCAACTTATCGTCATGGCTTTTCACTACTTTTCACTTTCTATACAGAAAACCCTAGCTTATGCAAGGCTTTACTGTATTGAGGCCTGTCCTATGACTTGTCGTTAAAATTTTGAAAAGGAGAACTCATTTTAACATCATCTACCGGACTATCTCTGTCCGTGTCATGCGTCTCTGCTGGTGAATGGAGGACTTGCCTTTCCTCGGGGTTCACTGGATCATAGGGAATCGTTTCATCATCTGAAGGCTCTCTAAACTCAGCCGTAATCGGGTAATCTACCTGCCAAGGTTGACGGAAATTTTCTTTTTTGATGGCCTAGTTGATTCAATGTTTATGCTCGCAATTTCTACTCTAGACATTCCATCACATATCCCATGGAATGTCTCCCAAAATCATGGCCAGCATCGAAACATCTACAGGATTAGGAATGGCCCTACTATCCTAAGTGTGTTCTTTCTGGCAATCTTCTTCAATGACGATTTCTCCCATACTGTCTGGTTTTGTGCGGGAACTCTTGAAAAAGTGGTTGTTTGTTTGTATAGGTGCTTGAAGTAGATGCAGGTTTTTTGCTGGCAATTTAAGTGCTAGAACTAGATCCAGACTGCTTGGTGTCATAGGTGCTAAAAACTGTCTTAGTGGATTCTAGTAGTATCCAGATTTGTTTGGTAAATGGGTGTGGATAGAATGTAGAATTGATGATAAAGTTGATTTCCTTATAGAAGGTACCTAAAACAAAGAAAAAATCTAATATATATATATATATATATATTCATTTAAGTTATGTTTATATTGTAATAGCCGTCGGTAGTCAGAGTTACCAAGAAGAGTTTTAAAGTTAACAATAGTTTTATTGTTTTAACAGTTCTTTAAAATCTATTATTATACAAAGATGTCTTATAATTATAAATGAGGTTCAGCATCTAATTAAATCTATACAGCTAGTATATAATGTTGCAGACGATAATTTATAAACGGATTAATGTCAATAGATTCTTATCCGATACTAATACCAGTGGACACAACTCGAATGCTATTAAAACGGACATAATGGACAGATGATTAGACGGACTTACTTTATACTATCAAGTATAAATACTAAAGAACTGTACGCAACTAAATATTATACTGGTCGCCGCCCGTTTTATTAGTTTTGGTCTGTGTCCACTTGATCTAAAACAACCAATGGATGGAGTCTCAGAAAGAGGGGTGTGAACCGGTCATTTTCTGAGACTCCACTCATGATATAATGACTTTTACTCATCAACAGTTAGTAATATGCATGTGATGTGAAACTTATAAAATACAATTCTTGGTAAAATAACAATCATTTTGATATACAACACTATGACAAAAAGTGACTGATCTTCATATAATCAACGAAATAGGTTACTGAACAGTGGCTGAGTTACAGACGCTCGAAATGGAGCTTTGCTATTCAAAAGCAAAATCGTAAAATATAACAATAATTCACAATTTCAAGTGACTGTGAAGTGTTTCTGAGACAAAACAATATTAAGGCATATTTTCTAATGGTTAACTCAGTCCTATAATGAACATAAACGTAAAAATTGCAGTCACCAACTACAATAACAACAAAAATGTCAGCCTCCATGAATTCGTGTGTTATTCCAGCCTCTAGTATAAAAGCCATTATAGTTGAAGTACAGTAGCTAAGTGTGTTTTACCCAGTATCTACCATCATTCTGTATATATGAACTTGTGATCGCAGTGATCTGCTCCAGATGGAGCTATTTCCTCTCCTGTCTGCTGGGCTCTTCGATGAACCTCAGTAATATTCACCATCCCCTCCTTTGCCAGACCTTTAATAGTTCCGATGACCCTTTCGTCCAGACAATTGGTATATGCTGATAGCTACAACCCCAACATAATAATTCCATTCGGTAAAATAGTGGTGTAAGCAACGTCAATCAGATAATCGCGCTGGTCATTTGAAGAATTAATAAGAGCTGTCACAGAGACGGCGCACTCGAATATTCTGCTGCTTTTCAGTACAGTAAACTTTCTTATAGCAAACACGGTTATAGCGAACTTCCGGTTATAACCCATGCGAAATGTGACTATGATTCACCATGTTCATCCATGGTTATTTGACCATGGTTAAACCATAGTGATGACATGGTTTAACAAAATAACAAATGGACCACAGTCTACAACCATGTTTTGACAGACCATGGTCAACCCAAGTTGAACCATGGTCATCTTAAGTTGAACCGTGGTCAGAAAACAATGGTCAACCAAAGTTGAACCATGGTCAGAAAACCATGGTTGCTATTGAAACCATGATTTACAGACCATGGGCCTAATCTCGTTGAAAATGTTTTTTTCTATTTTAGCTCTGGCGGCCATATTGTGCAGTAAGGCTGAACAGCTTGAGCTATTTTGAGAGAGGAACTGTTTTTAGCTCACCTGAGCACGAAGTGCTCAAAGGTGAGCTTTTGTCATCACTCTGCGTCCGTCGTGCGTCGTGCGTCGTGCGTCGTGCGTCCTTCAAAAAATGGCGTCAAACTTTTCAAACTACATCTCCTCCTAAACTACATGGCCAATTGCAACCAAACTTTACAGAAATGATCCTTAGGTGGACCCCTTTCAAAGTTGTTCAAAAATTTAAATTCCATTAAAAACTCTGGTTGCCATGGCAACCAATAAGAAAAACTTAAAAAATCTTCTTCTAAAAAACCGTAAGAGCTAGAGCTTAGATATTTGGCATGAAACATCTTCTAATGAGTGCCTACCAAGTTTGTTCAAATCAAAGCCCTAGGGTCAAAATTGGCCCCGCCCCAGGGGGTCATTGATTTTCCCTATATGCATATAGTAAAAACTTAAAAAATCTTCTTTTAAAGAACTCAAAGAGCTAGAGCTAAGATATTTAGCATGAAACATGTTCTAATGGGTGTCTACCAAGTTTGTTCAAATAAAAGCCCTGGGGTCAAAATTGGCTCCGCCCCGGGGGTCATTGATTTTCCTTATATGTGTATAGCAAAAACTTAAAAAATCTTCTTTAAAAAAACCCAAATAGCTGGAGTTTAGCTATTAAGCATGAAACATCTTCTAGTGAGTGTCTACAAAGTTTGTTCAAATCAAAGCCCTAGGGTCAAAATTGGCCCCGCCCCGGGGGTCATTGATTTTCCTTATATGACTGTGTATAGCAAAAACTTAAAAATCTTCTTTGAAAAAACCCAGATAGCTAGTGTTTAGATATAAAGCATGAAACATCTTCTAGTAAGTGTCTACCAAGTTTGTTCAAATAAAAGCCCTAGGGTCAAAATTGGCCCCGCCCCCGGGGGTCATTGATTTTCCCTATGTGCATATAGTAAAAACTTAAAAAATCTTCTTTTAAAGAACTCAAAGAGCTAGAGCTAAGATATTTAGCATGAAACATGTTCTCATGGGTGTCTACCAAGTTTGTTCAAATAAAAGCCCTGGGGTCAAAATTGGCCCCGCCCCGGGGGTCATTGATTTTCCCTATGTGCATATAGTAAAAACTTAAAAAATCTTCTTTTTAAGAACTCAAAGAGCTAGTGCTAAGACATTTAGCATGAAACATGTTCTCATGGGTGTCTACCAAGTTTATTCAAATAAAAGCCCTGGGGTCAAAATTGGCCCCGCCCCGGGGGTCATTCATTAGCTTGACTTTTTTTTTTTTTAGATATATACATATTATATATATACATATATATTTAATATTTATATATATATATATATATATATATATATATATATAAATGTATATATATATATATATATATAGATATATATATATATATACATATTATGTGTGTGTGTGTATATATATATATATATATATATATATTTATGTATGTATATGTATATATATATATATACATATACATACATATATATATATATATATATATATATATATATATATATATATATATATATATACATATACATATACATATACATATATATATATATATATATATATATATATATATATATATACATATACAACCAAGTTTGTTCAAATAAAAGCCCTGGGGTTTTAACTGGCCCCGCTCCAGGGGCCTATATACAGGTGAGCGACTTTGGGCCATCATGGCCCTCTTGTTTAATCCATTCCAGAGTTTAGGAAAAGATGTTTTAAGTTGATGATGCACGGATGACTGACATATGTTACTTGGTGATGCACGGATGACGGACATAGAGTGATCACAAAAGCTCACCTTCAGCACATTGTGCTCAGGCAAGCTAAAAAATCAATAAAATTATGCACCTTCTCATAAATTAATTGAACACTTCAACAAAAGCAATCAGTTTTCACCGTCACATGTTGCCTGATGTTAGCTTAATTAAGCAGAAGCATTGAGGGATGATGTCACAGCTATTTTGTAGCAGGCAAAAAATAAATCCTTAAAATGCCTAAATGCATTTTAAATTCTAGGACTATAACTAGGCAAAAGTCATTCAACCAGAAAACGTGTGTATTATGTGCAGTACTAAAGATAGATCAATCATGTAAAGTTTCACTAAAACTGCATTAGCAGTATAACAATAGAAGTCTGGACAGATTTTTAAAAAGATAAATTCATTAAAGGTCCTTAACTCTATTTATTATTCAAAAATTATTGGACTGATAAATGCCAAAGATATACAAAACTAGGTCTTAATTCTTATCATTCCTGTAAAATGGGAATTAATTTGTACCACAAAGAACCTATTTATGCAAATAACCAAAATTTCAATATTCCAAACAACGTCTCTCTCCAAATCTGAATTTCGTGTAACGACTTAGCGTCCTGGAAATTTCATCTTGGCATGGTCTTCTTTTTCCGCTGCTCAAGAAAGGTGGGGCAGGTGTGGAAAGGACCGAAGGGCCAGAGTCTCTGTCTGCTATGTCCAACACTTCCCTGAGTAAGGATTCCACATATTCATATGTCATTTTTTCCCTTTTTATTTTTATAGAGAATTCATCCCCTGTCTTGTATTTTGGGAATGCGATTTGAATGGCAACATTACCATCTTTATTTACAGCAGACTTTCTTTTGCTGTTTTCGTTGAAATGCAGAGCAGCAAGATGTTGTCTGAAATTAGAAATTGAACCATGAAAATCTTAATAATTATTTACTCTATATTTTAATGTACCATTAACACTTCTATACATTTTCTTTAAACTACAAATGTTCTCATTTAAATCAATTCATTATGTCTCCCCCACCTCGGGGGGAGACATATTGTTTTTGCCCTGTCCGTCAGTCCGTCCGTCCGTCAGTCCGTCCGTCAGTCCGTCCGTCCATTCTTCGTTTCCGGACGATAACTAGAGTTCCTTTTGACCTACAGCCCTCAAACTTCATAGGATGATTGGTCTTATAGAGCTGATGATCCCTATTGTTTTTGGGGTCAGTAGGTCAAAGGTCAAGGTCACACTGACCGTTGGTCAATTTCTCGTTTCCGGATGATAACTAGAGTTCCTTTAGACCTACAGACCTCAAACTTCATAGGATGATTGGTCTTATTGAGCAGATGATCCCTATTGTTTTTGGGGTCAGTAGTTAAAAGGTCAAGGTCACAGTGACCGTTGGTCAATTTCTCGTTTCCGGACGATAACTAGAGTTCCTTTTGACCTACAGCCCTCAAACTTCATAGGATGATTGGTCTTATAGAGCTGATGATCCCTATTGTTTTTGGGGTCAGTAGGTCAAAGGTCAAGGTCACACTGACCGTTGGTCAATTTCTCGTTTCCGGATGATAACTAGAGTTCCTTTAGACCTACAGACCTCAAACTTCATAGGATGATTGGTCTTATTGAGCAGATGATCCCTATTGTTTTTGGGGTCAGTAGTTCAAAGGTCAAGGTCACAGTGACCGTTGGTCAATTTCTCGTTTCCGGATGATAACTAGAGTTCCTTTTGACCTACAGCCCTCAAACTTCATAGGATGATTGGTCTTATAGAGCAGATGATCCCTATTGTTTTTGGGGTCAGTAGGTCAAAGGTCAAGGTCACAGTGACCGTTGGTCAATTTCTCATTTCCGGATGATAACTAGAGTTCCTTTTGACCTACAACCCTCAAACTTCATAGGATGATTGGTCTTATTAATCAACCTTGTATATAAACCTCCGTCTTTGCCGATTAACTTGTTCCTTCAAAAGCTTACCCTTGTCTTGGAAAATTCACCAACAGAAAACTGCATAGTTCTAGGAGACTTCAACATTGACCTCATTCAATATTTAGAACATCCATTGACCCACACTATGTTACGACATCGCTTTAAACAAATAATAAACAAGGCTACTACAGCACACAACACACTTATTGACCATATCTACCAGAGAGGCTTGATTGTGAAAACGAGTGGAGTCATCCCAACACACTACAGTTATCATGATTTGACATACATTGAAATTTGAGTTGTCTTTCAATAGTGTAAAAAATCTGACAATATGAACGTTTGTTTCAAGTATCATCAAAATCCTTCAAAGGGTTGAAGAGTTATGGAGCAGACACAATTTCCTTTAATTTCGTTTGTGAAACTATATATGATATGACATTCAAGTGTCAAGTAGACCTTGACCTTGGAACCAGCCATACGAAACATGTACTCTACACGTTCTCTGGATGTGGTGAATTTTTGTTTCAAGTATCTACCAGAGAGGCTTCATTGTGAAAACGAGTGGAGTCATCCCAACACACTACAGTTATCATGATTTTACATACATTGTAATTTGAGTTGTCTTTCAATAGTGTAAAAAAATCTGACAATATGAACGTTTGTTTCAAGTATCATCAAAATCCTTTAAAGGTTTGAAGAATTATGGAGCAGACACAATTTAATTTAATTTCATTTGTGAAACTATATATGATATGACCATCAAGTGCAATTTCGTTTGACGCCCGCCTGCCATACGCTGATTGAATAACCAGGATTTTCAAAATTGAATACCTGGTTAAAAACAAACAGTTTAGGAAGCATCTTCTCATACAACCTTAACAATAGAAACCATCCATAGACAGCCTTCATTGAAGTGACTACCGGGTATTTACATTATCTTATCTCCATTTCCATTCCTGTTTCCATTCACAGTTATTCTCAGCAGTGGGGGAGACATGCGCTTTTTTACAAAAGCATCCTCTAGTTAGAATTAGAAATACACTGTGTAAGGATGAAAAGAACTTAAAAGCTCCATGTTTAAAAACTTAAGACTGAGAACAAAGGTTTCCCTTTCATTAGTATTTAATACAGAAAATGTAAATGAACCAGTCACTTAAATACATCTAATTCATTTTTGGTATGTCATATTAAATGTGGAATTGATTGTTGGCTGGTGTTGGCTACATCACCAACATGATTAAAGATATACTATATACTTTATTAATATAAAATAAAATGTTCTGACTGCACACAAAGTAGACCTGCTATGCATACAATTCTACACATGTTAGGTGGTCACAGTATGAATGTACAATGTCATTTTTAGCTCACCTGTCACAAAGTGACAGGGTGAGCTTTTGTGATCGCTTTTCGTCCGGCGTCCGTCCGGCGTCTGTCCGTAAACTTTTGCTTTAAATGACATCTCCTCATAAACCTCTAAGCCAATTTCATCCAAACTTCACAGGAATGTTCCTTTGGTGGTCACCTTAAAAAATTGTTCAAAGAATTTAATTCCATGCAGAACTCTGGTTGCCATGGCAACTGAAAGAAAAAACTTTAAATATCTTCTTTTAAAAAAACCATAAGAGCTAGAGCTTAGATATTTGGCATGAAACATCTTCTAGTGAGTGTCTACTAAGTTTGTTCAAATAAAAGCCCTGGGGTCAAAATTGGCCCCGCCCCGGGGGGTCATTGATTTTCCCTATATGCATATAGTAAAAAGTTACAAAATCTTCTTTGAAAGAACTCAAAGAGCTAGAGCTAAGATATTTAGCAGGAAACATCTTCTAATGTGTGTCTACTTAGTTTGTTCAAATAAAAGCCCTGTGGTCAAAATTGGCCCCACCCCAGGGGGTCATTGATTTTCCTTATATGTGTATAGCAAAAACTTAAATAACCTTCTTTGAAAAAAACCAAATAGCTAGAGTTTAGATATTAAGCATGAAACATCTTTTAGTGAGTGTCTACAAAGTTTGTTCAAATAATAGTCCTGTGGTCAAAATTGGCCCCGCCCCGGGGGGTCTTGATTTTCCCTATATATGCATATATTAAAAACTTAAAAAGTCTTCTTTGTAAAAAACCCAAATAGCTAGAGTTAGATATTAAGCTTGAAACATCTTCTTATAAGTGTCTACAAAGTTTGTTCAAATAAAAGCCCCGGGGTCAAAACTGGCCCCGCCCCAGGGGTGTCACTGTTTTTAACTATATGTGTGTAGTAAAAACTTAAAAATCTTCTTTTAAAAACCCCAATGAACTAGAGCTTAGATGTTTAGCATGAAATATCTTCTTATGGATGCCTACCAAGTCTGTTCAAAAAGAAGCCCTCGGGTGAAAATTGGCCCTGCCGTGGGGGGGGGGGGGGAGCGAATGAGATCATTGTTTTTCATTACATGTGTGTAGTAAAAGCTTAACATTGTGAAACATCTTCTAGTGAGTGTCTACAAAGTTTGTTCAAATAAAAGCCCTGGGGTTTAAACTGGCCCTGCTCAGGGGGCCTATATACAGGTGAGCGACCTCAGGGCCATCATGGCCCTCTTGTTAATTGTAAGGAAGTAAAAACTTTGCTAAACAGCTATTAGGGAACAAAGCTCCTATACATAGTTAAATTCACTCTTTTATTCAAATTAAGAGATATTCAGTAAGAATTTTATAGATTTAAATAAATTTCCATGATTAAATATTTTACTCAAGGATGAGCATAGTACAATGTATATCTATAGGCAGACATTTCCTTTGTTATTGAAATTATATACTGACCTGCATAATTGACCATGAAATGTGTAGGAATGCAGTTTGGGGGCGAAATGGTTTACAACACTATGATATGCCTCGAGGTCAGATGTCTGTGGGTCAGTTGAAAGTTTGCGAATGTCGTTACACAATCGTGTGTTTGTTATTAGGTCTTCAACTTTGGCACATGCCTTGGTTCCTAAAATACAAAAAAATGTTACTGATAACCTTTCAAATATGTTATGTAAATCACAAATGAATTTGGTAAATACATTTTATTATCAATGACGACTGATTCAATGTAGATTACACCATCCTTTAGTGTACATGATATTTATGCCCCCGCCATGTAATGGCCGGGGCATATAGTGTTACCCTGTTCCGTCCTTCCGTCATTCTGTCATTCCGTCATCATCAGTTTCCGTTCATTATCTTAAGAACGGTTGCACACATTCAACTCAAATTTGACATATGGATATGTCATGAGAAAATACAGGTCAAGTTCGAATTTGGTCATGGTTCGATGATTTTTGGCAGAGTTATGCCCCTTTTACTTTGAAAACAATATGAAATTTTCAGTTTCCGTTCATTATCTCCCCAAAGGTACAACACATTCAACTCAAACTTGACATATGGATATGTCATGAAAAAGATACAGGTCAAGTTTGAATTTGGTCATGGTTCGATGATTTTTGGCAGAGTTATGCCCCTTTCACTTTGAAAATAATATGAAATTTTCAGTTTCCGTTCATTATCTCCCCAACTGTACAACACATTCAACTCAAACTTGATATATGGATATGTCATGAGAAAATACAGGTCAAGTTCGAATTTGGTCATGGTTTGATGATTTTTGGCAGAGTTATGCCCCTTTTACTTTGAAAACAATATGAAATTTTCAGTTTCCGTTCATTATCTCCCCAAAGGTACAACACATTCAACTCAAACTTGACATATGGATATGTCATGAAAAAGATACAGGTCAAGTTTGAATTTGGTCATGGTTCGATGATTTTTGGCAGAGTTATGCCCCTTTCACTTTGAAAATAATATGAAATTTTCAGTTTCCGTTCATTATCTCCCCAAAGGTACAATACATTCAACTCAAACTTGACATATGGATGCGTCAAAGGAATGCGCAGGTCAAGTTCAAATTTAGTCATGGTTCAATGATTTTTGGCAGAGTTATGCCCCTTTCACTTTAAAAGTAATATGAAATTTTCAGTTTCCGTTTATTATCTCCCCAATGGTACAACACATTCAACTCAAATATGACATATGGATATGTTTTAAGAATGCCCAGGCCAAGTTCGAATTTGGACTTGGTTCAATGATTTTTGGCAGAGTAATGCCCCTTTCACTTTGAAAATAATATGAAATTTACAGTTTCTGTTCATTATCTACCCAACAGTGTTACATATTCAACTTAAATTTGACATATGGATATGTCAAAGGAATGGGCAGGTCAAGTTGGAATTTGGTCATGGTTTGATGATTTTTTGGCAGAGTTATGTCCCTTTCACTTTGAAAATAATATAGATACATCTTAGGAATAAGCAGTTTAAGTTTGAATTTGGTCGTGGTTCAATGATTTTAGACAAACTTATCTTTCCTGAATGTTGGTAAAATTTTGAACTTTCAGTTTCAGCACTCTAGCCATTATTTTGGCTACAAATATGCAATATGCTATTTTTAAAAGGTTAAGACTGAATAATTTCAGTGCCTTGTATGAAAATGGTTTGTGTTAACATTGAAAAGTTTTAAGGGCTTTGAACTTAAAATGAAAAAAATAATTAATGCACCATCTGAAATTTTGGCTGCATGCGGGGGCATCCGTGGCATGATGACACATTTCTAGTTTATGTTATATTGTACATGTATATAGACTTGATATAATTTGTTTAAATGTAATGATTTCATGTTTCTGTATGGAACAAAAATGGAACAAAAGTGTTCAGATGTTCTTAATCATCTATTAATTCATATTCTTTAGTTAAAAGAATTTAGTTTATAAATTATAATTATATTTTTAAGTTTGTATTGATGCTGTCAGCTAACAGCCACCACTAAATGTGTTCTTTAAAGCAGTGTGGCCATTGAATATATATGAACCTGGTTTAAGCCATTGTCTTGACTCCAAGTCACCATGCAGACAGGATGGAAACCTAGGACCATGACCATTGTGAATGTTCTGTATGTGATTTGACAGAGATAACCATTTGGCTAAGATGGTTTCTCTGTCTCCATCTGGAGTTGAGGCAGCAGCCCAGTAGACATGGTTACTAATACTTTTTATCCATTTTCCAATGATTTCACAATCTTTCTGTTTTGATAGTGCAGTTAGCTTTTTCTTATTACTTTTGGCTACATGCCACACATCATAAGTATGTCTCACATTAACCAAATTCTCTCGAATCCACTTTTGAATCTGGACGTGGCGATCTGTTTTAGACTACATGTAGCAAGCTTCAGGCCTTCAAGTTCCATATGGCTACCTAAGGTTACTACTCTTGACTTGGTTGTTTTGCACTAATTTGATTTCAATAACCCTTCCAGAGCGGATGTCAAGAAGAGAGTAAGAACCATATTTGGCACAATGTCCAGGGCTGTCAGACCTACCATCACCAGCAAGTATAACTTTCCCAGGTCTTGATCTTATTCCTTCCAGCATTGCATTTCTTGTTCAATTCCAAATTTTTTCAATAGCTGGCCACATATATCCTCTTTGATATTTATAGAAAGTTGTAGCACTAACACTAGAAAAATGTATAAATTTAAACATTCGCAAAACTTTCTCTATATTCACAGCAGAAAACAACACTGCACTTGATATTAAAATGTTCCCTGCTGGTCGTTTCCCGATCATTGGCTGGGAATGCCATTCTCTGATATGCCCACATGAACACTCTTGTAGGACACTTATAAAACTTCCCAGTCTCTGTTTGATGTGAGCCGAAGTGTTTGAGAAACAGACTGTACTTATTGTGAATAGAGACATAAGACATTGTTCGAAAACCATGTACTTTGGGGTCTTCAGTGTGTCAGATCTAAAAAATAAAAGAGACAATTAAATGTTTATTTTCACATTATAACTAAAATAACAACTGTGTTATCAGTGAAACAGAAGAAATTAAAACTTGAATAGGACACACATATCCCCCTAAGTATCTGAAAGATGTTATATACAGTCAAACTTCTTTCGCTCAAACTCGGAGGGTCTGTGCAAATTTGTTCGAGAGATTGGTAGTTTGAGCCAACCGAGGTTTAACTAGGACAAGGCCTAAATGTTTTCCAGCTTAGATAGGTGGATTGAAAGTACGTCATTAGTTCGTCGAATACGTCATTATTTTAAATATTATCCCCCGTATTAACGGTACACTGTGTTAATCTAATAAATCTATGTTCATTTAAATGGTTGAGTTCGATTGGGTAATCATTTTCATTTGAAGAAACTTGGTAGACATCCAATAGAAGATGTTTTATGCAAAATATTTAAGATTTAGCTCTTTTGGATTTTCACAAGAAGAGTTTTAAGTTTTAACTATATACATGTATATATAAGTAAAATCAATGAACCCCTAGGATGGGGCTACATTTTGACCTGAAGGCTTTTATTTGAACAAACTTTGTAGACACCCATTTAATTGTTTCATGCTTAATATCTAGACCTTTGCTCTTTGGGGTTTTTAAAGAAGATTTTCTTAGTTTTTACAAGAAAGATATGTAAGGAAAATCAGACCCCCGGGGCAGGGCCAATTTAACCCTTGGGCTTTTATTTGAACAAATTTGGTAGACACTCACTAACAGATGTTTCATACTTAATTTCTAAGCTCTAGCGCTATTGGTTATTTAAAAGATTTTTAAGTTTTTACTATAGACATATAATTAAAATCAATGACCCGACCCCCAGGATGGAGCCAATTTGACCCTGGGGATTTTATTTGAACACATTTGATATACACTCACTAGAAGATGCTTCATGCCAAATATCTAAGATCTAGCTAAAAGTTAATGGACTGTCGCCGGACGAAAAGAGATCACAAAAGCTCAACATGTCACTTTGTAACAGGCAAGCTAAAAAAAAGCTGTCAAAGATGCTCAAATTTTGAGTACTGACTTTTGAATGAGAGCTTTGCCAGTTAAAGGGCTGATAAATATTAACTAAATTTTAACTTAAGAATGGGCATAACTATGTGTTGTCTGAATTGTTGCTTCTTTCCAAGTATGGAGATAATAAATTCATTAATTACCAAGTTACAGTCAATTATAGCAAGTCAGTGAAAATTTAATAATTTTACCTTCAAGGTAAATATCATAAAAGACACAAGCTAAAAAGCTTAACAAAGTAACATGCACAGTCTTTGTCACCAACAATCAATCTAAATTTCAAGCTTAGAATGCAAGTTACAGTTTTCAAACTTTAAATCAATCCTCACCTGTCCCAATCTTCATCAATGATAGTATCATCTTCACTGTCATCCATATCTGATGTTGGTTCCCAAGTAGAGTCATGTTTTTCGGTGGCGGAACTGAATGTTGTGTTTGGGGATGTACACTTACTGATTGGTGTTGATACTGGGGTGGAGGTCTTCTGCATGGTGGGGGTAGCTGGCATTGGTTGAAAATCAAGAGGATCAACCTGTGTCTCCTTTGTGACACTATAGGATTCTCTGAGGTCTGTGAGTTTGTACTGTGTACCTGAAATAATTATTATTTTATCCATAAAAAGAATGAATACCCACAACACAAATTTTCTAAAAATTAATAGTACCTTATTCTTGTTTGAAATGTGACAAAATATTATTATCTACCTTTAAACTATCAAAAATTGAAAATGAATGAATGAATTCTTGCATAATTTCTTTTACTATTGTACCACATACAATAAAATACTCTAAAGCTTTTTCACTCCAGTTGTGAAGATAAACACATTCAGTATAATGAAATGTATGCAATTGAATATACAGTTAACTATTATCCTTATTTCTTTATATTATATATCATTCTGTTTCACTGTAGCGAGTAGAACCACTTTGTACCAATTGTACTTCCCAATCATTTGAGTTTGGATACAAAACATGGCAAATTCAAAAGAAGTTACCGATAGTCTGATACCGAAGTTTAGTTCAACTTCCTTAGTCTCAGATGTTTTCAAAGATGCATAAAGTATGTCCTGAAGTACCTGTAACAATTCAATTCACTTGATTTAGTCCCCTTAAGCTTGTCGGAGCATAATTGAGTCAGTATAAGTCTGATTTACTTCAAACTTGATATGCATGCTTCTTTCAATAACCCGAAGTGCAGTGCGAAGGACCAGTACTCTGCACTTCTTAATTTTTGAGTTATTGCCCTTTGTTAATTTTCATACTTTTATTTTGTCCGGGCCATTTCTCTTCAACTATAAAAGAAACATCGATATTGGTGTTTATGTCCATGGTATTGATAAAGACATTGTTATCAGTGAGTGAAATGTCAATCACATTTGCTGTATCAAGCGCTGTAACTGCTAAGGAACTCTCTCCAATTGTGAACCCAGTAGCAGAGTCTTGGCTACTGACTGTTGCAGAGGTAACTACCTCAGAATGGACAGTACTGCCAGAAAAGGTCACCACAACAGGTTGCCCTATGAAAAGTTTGAGTGTGCCAGCTTCAATGGTCAGTGTGTAGACCCCTTCTTCTTTTACTTTTATGGATTGTTTATTGCAGTCAGCATAAATTATGTCATTGTTTTTTTCCCAAATGTACTTCACATCATGAACTGGTGGGTCTGCTAAAACACCCAGTAATAAGAAATTTGGAATATCTTCTTCAATGCCAAATATAACATCTGGTCCATAAAACAACACATTGTTTTGCCTTTCAGTGGTGTCATTTTGAGACTGTGGATGATACTTCACATTATCATTTTCGAATTCAGTTACAAAAAATCCATGCTCTTGTGGATGAAAATGCTCAAATTCCTGTTCATGATCATGAACCATATTATAGCAAGAAAGAGTTGAGTAACAGGATATAGCAGAGTCACATCTGTTATCATACACGGATGCAACTGTTTTCTGATACTTAATTTTGACAGTTCCAGCCTGAATTCCATTCACATAAAATGATGGTGGGCTCTCAATACCTTTCTTTTTTGTGCGCATATACAGATGAGACTGCGAAGAATATAATCCATGAGCCTTTAGGTAACTCTGGAAACTGCAAGGATTTCCTTCCAAGTCCTCAAAGTCAGTTATTTCATTTCCAGCAAAATTTGCTAGACCTATCTCTATTTCACTCCGTTTTCCCTGTTGACTTTCATTGTTTGGAAAGAAGCGTTTCTTTCCCTCCTCTATGATACTTTTGACACATATTGGTTCATCAGACTTATATTCAATCCTTCGCGTTCCCCCACCTCTCTTCACAGTTAATACCCGATACTTCTCACGGTCAAAGTGTTGCCAGCCTAAGGACAGCTTGTAGTGTGTGTGTTTACCTCGTCTTGTAACTGGTAAATCCCCCGCCTTTTCGAAGAAAAAAGGGGGATATAGAAATAGGCTCCGTCCGTCTGTCCGTCCGTCCGCACTCACAGGAGAGTAATTATGTGGCTAGAGGGACAATAGGTAACTGTTCTTTCTCTTTGATGTCATTCATTCCGTAATGCTTTTATGTGGCTATTTTCTTTTGTGTGGCTAAAAAGAACAATAGAGAGAACAATAGAGTAGCCACATAATTACTCTCCTGTTAGAACGTCCGTCCGTCCGTCCGTCTGTCCGTCCGTCACACTTTCGTGTCCGGTCCATAACTTTGTCATTTATGAAAGGAATTTGAAATAACTTGGCACAAATGTTTGTTATAATAAGACGATGTGTCATGCGCAACAACCAGACCCCTACCTCCAGGGTCAAGGTCGCACTTGCTCATTCAAGGTCAACATTGTCTATTTGAGGGTATATGTCGTGTCCGGTCCATAACTTTCTTATCTATGAAGGGATTTTGTAAATACTTGCCATAATTGTTCACAATAATCAGACGATGTGTCATGCGCAAAAACCAGTCACCTACCTTCAAGGTCAAGGTCACACTTGGAGGTCAAATATTAACATAGTCTGTTACAGGGTATATTTCGTGTCCGGTCCATAACTTTCTTATCTATGAAGGGATTTTGTAAATACTTGCCATAATTGTTCACAATTATCAGACGATGTGTCATGCGGAAAAAGCAGTCACCTACCTTCAAGGTCAAGGTCACACTTGGAGGTCAAATATTAACATAGTCTGTTACAGGGTATATTTCGTGTCCGGTCCATAACTTTCTTATCTATGAAGGGTTTTTGTAAATACTTGCCATAATTGTTCATAATAATCAGACGATGTGTCATGCGCAAAAACCAGTCACCTACCTTCAATGTCAAGGTCACACTTGGAGGTCAAATATTAACATAGTCTGTTACAGGGTATATTTCGTGTCCGGTCCATAACTTTGTCATTTATCAAAGGAATCTGAGATAACTTGGCACAAATGTTTGTTATAATAAGACGATGTGTCATGCGCAACAACCAGACCCGTACCTTCAGGGTCAAGGTCGTACTTGTTCATTCAAGGTCAACATTGTGTATTTGAGGGTATATGTCGTGTCCAGTCCATAACTTTCTTATCTATGAAGGACTTTTGTAAATACTTGCCATAATTGTTAACAATAATCAGATGATGCGTCATGCGCAAAAACCGGTCACCTACCTCCAAGGTCAAGGTCACACTTGGAGGTCAAATACTTACATAGTCTGTTACAGGGTATATTTTGTGTCAGGTCTATAATTTTTTCATAGATCAAAGGATTGTGAAAATACTTTGCACAAATAGTCACTATAATAAGAGGATGTGTCATGCGCAACACCTGCATCCCTACCTCCAAGGTCAAGGTCACACTTAGAGGTCAAAAATTAACATAGTCTGTTATAGGGTATATTTTGTGTTGAATCTAGAACTTCTTCATAGTTCAAGGGATTTTGAAATAACTTGGCACAAATAGTCACAATAATAAGACGTTATGTCATGCACAACACCTGCTCCCCTACCTCCAAGGTCAAGTTCACACTTAGAGGTCAAAGCTTAACATGATAGATTTTTAAATTCCGTGTTTCATTTTATTTTTTTAACAAATTTATTGTTACATTTGCAGATCTAGCATTGATCATAATTTTGGACTGAATGTCCTGAGATCCATACCTCAATCTTTTGAAATAGCAAAATTTTATGCTTCATATAAAACTCCCGGGGCGGGGGACGTTGGTAACTCTGTTACAAATTCTTGTTCTGAAAGTGTTAAATATAGTGACATATATTTCAGTTCTATGTTTTTTTTTAAAGTAACAAGGCTGTCTGAAATTATAGCGGGAGCTTTATGCAGTCATTCAAAATGAAATGGATAATGTTTTTCAATTATATGACCTACTGACCTAGCTTTTGACCAGACATTATTCAATTTCACATGCATGGTAAGAACCATAAATGTAAACATTTTTTGTTTGTTCTGGGTTTAGAGCCCCTTTTGAACAGAATTTCAGTTATGCAACGGCAGGCAGTTAACTTAAGCAGTGTTCAGGGATTCTGTACCAGTATAAACCTGTTCTCTGCAAGTAACTGCCAACTTCCTCAAATGAATCCGAGGAGAAGGACGGATGATTTAAGACAAAATGTTGTTTATCAAAAAGCCACGGAGAACATGTGCCTAGCTAGCCCAAGAATCGGACTCACAATCCCGAGATCCATAGATCTGCGCTCTCCCTATTGAGCTAGGTGGGCGGGCTATAAACATTCTGAGCAAGAGTCATAAATCTTTGGCAATAAATATGGCTGGTACCTTTATAAGGTTTTCCTATTATACAATGTATGACTTAGTGTATTTATATTCATATAATTATCATATGTTATGTTACATGTATTTTAAAAATCCTTCGACAGGTGACAGACTTATGGCTCACATATGCAGTGTGACAGAGACAGATGGACAGACATTGTGCATCTCTATTCCCAACTGTTTTTCTGTGGAATGGTAGGGGACAAAATCATAGCCTGTAATGACCAAATAAGGTTTTTAATTATAAGACCTATTGACCTAACCTCTAACCCAATGTTATGTTGTACGTATGTAGAACTTATCAATACAACTGTTCCTCCGACATCTGGCATGGTCTATTAATGCAACTGACATGTTCTCATAGGAACTTTTTGTATTTTGAAATTATAGTTAAATTATGAGTTTACATACTCACCATTGTAATGTTTTCAGTCATGGACCTTGACTTTTTCTTAGCCTTTAATTTCTCAACAAGTGACGTAATCCTTTCTCTTCTCTTCTGAAAAATAAATCACTTTCTTAACTGTGGTTTTAGAAAGGGTACAAGAGCTGTAGGAAGACAGTGTGCTTCACTATTCTCAGTGCTCGATAGTATATGAATACATGTATATACAAGCCATCTTGTGGAAATTGTTCATATCCAATAAGGTCAAGTAATGTATAAATCTTCTAAGTGAAAAAAGGGTCATAATTCTAGCCCACTGCTCACTACAGTTGTGGTCATCATGTTGGTAAACAAGTGTGCAAAATATAAAAAGCAATATGCCAATGTACTTTGAAAAAATATCTGGGATGGTACCTAAACCTTGGCATAGATTTATAATCATAATAATTCATATTCTAAATGTGACAGAACCATAATTCTGGCAAAATTGTTATCTTGAGTTGTCTGCTTTTGCTTTTGTTCGTATACTGGGGTCATAATGGTAAACAAGTATGCAAAATACGTATGTAATATGTCAGTGGACATTGAAAATATTTGGGTTTATATTGTATGCCACCTCTAATGCGGGGGTCAGTAAGATTGCTCCCCTATTCATAGAACAGTTATGCTAAGTTGCTCCAAGTTATGCTTTTGCAAAAAAATAG